GTACTCGGACCTCTTTTGTTTGTAATCTTCATTAATGACTTATGTAAAGGCATTATTAAAGACACTAAATTATATGCAGACAATACCAAAGTTATTTCAATCAATCATTGTTATGATGATAATAAAATATTACAAGAGGATATTAACAGGTTAGTTAAATGGTCTGAAGATTGGTTAATTACATTTAATGAATCAAAATGTAAAGTCATGTATATTGGCAAAAAGAATCCAAGATATGAATATAAATTGAACAACTCTGTTTTAACAGAAACAATGATAGAAAATGATCTTGGGATTTTCATTTCAAATAATCTAGAGTGAAAATATCATGTTAATTCAGCTATAGGTAAAGCAAACAGAAAATTAGGCATGATCAAAAACTCTTTTGAGTATTTGGATGAACTTTTATTAAAGTTACTATACAAATCGTTAGTACGTCCCTATTTGGAATATGGAGCAACAGTTTGGAGTCCATTTTGGAAAAAGGACATTGACAATCTTGAAATTGTGCAACGCAGGGCTACGAGAATTGAATCTTTAAGGGGGAAGTCGTATGAAGAAAGTTTAAAGATACTTGAATTGCCAACTTTGTTTGATAGAAGAAGAAGAGGTGATCTGATTCAAATGTATAAGATCTCAAAAGGGAAAGATATTGTTAATTTTCACCATCCTCCTTTAAATTTTGAGCTGGAGCGATCTAGTAGAAGTAACAATTGTAGAATACGCAGACAATTTACAAAATCAAGAATTCGTCACCATTTCTTTACAAACAGAGTTATAAATGATTGGAATTCTCTACCACAATGGATATCAGATAAAGATAATTTGAACATTTTTAAAAACAGTATCGATAATTATTTCGGTTTCTGAACACTAATTTTTGTAATTGGCTGTCATAGTCTTAATTCTACGTAATTAAGACTCTACACACCTCAAGTGTGTACAGCACCTTTTCTATTCTATATATATATATATATATATATATATGTATATATATATATATATGTATATATATATATATATATTTATATATATATATATATATATATATATATATATATATATATATATATATATAAATTTACCAAAAAAATTTTTAGGATGCGCTACCATTGATAATTATGATTCAAGGTATTGCACTAAGCCTACTCCGCGTAAGACCTTTTTTTAAGTTATTTATATCGATTTCTATTTATAAAAAATTTAATTAAAAAGTTCAAAGGTACAATAAACATGTTAAGTATATACTGTAACATTAATGATTCTCCGTCTCTACTTATATAAATACATTAAATTTTTATAAACGAAATTCTTAATATACACTCTGTTAAAGCCTCATAAATTTTACACAAATAATATTTTTAGAACCTACAGATGGATCAGTACCTAAGAATTATACTAGTATACTATACAATAATAATTGCAGCTTTGCATATTACAACATTACATTATTTTGGGGCAAACCTAATACTTCAAGTTTGATAAAAAGTTATACAATATATTATGGTAAAATTACTGAAATAAAAATAGATGATGGTATCAATGTTTCTTCTGTAAGCTTTTGAATTTTTTTTTGTATTTTATTTTTAACTTTATTAAAGTAGAACATGATGTGTTCAGATAAATGAAAATGGCGAAAAAATTAAATTTTAACTAATTTATTTTTACTTAACTTGATCATAAAAGTATTTATAAGTATTATAATTAAAAAAGTATATAAAGGAAAAATAACCTTTTTTTATTTTTGCTAAAGCTTGTGAGCTCTTTTATTTTTTAGATCTCTTACAATCACTTTGCTACTGGTAACATTTAACCCAAAATTCAACTGCCCAACGTACTGCTGCTTTAGAAGTTTTGATTTTAAGGCAAAGGTTAATAAAAATGAAGTTAAAATACTTGTAGAAGTCCTTTTTGACAAAAATTTTAGGGGTTAGCAGAAACTCTATGTTGATCAGCCTTGCACCTCTTCTTTATCTAATAGGCTAGTGTTGATGTAAACTTGTGTTTCATTGTTTCTTGTCTTGGGTGATGAATACTGGAGTTTATAGACTCTAGATTGATTGTGACTTTGCGATTCTTCCTGTTATCTCCAAAAAAACGGTACAGCTCTAAAACTCAGTTTCATGATTCTGAGGATGGCTGGTAGTAATCTTAGTCTTACATAGTTTTCAACTTTCTTTTTTTATGGCTAACTTGTTAACTTCTCTAAATAAAAGATTCTATTTTGCATTAAATAGGGCAGCAAAACAAAGGTTGCTTTTGACATATCAAAACCATTTGAAATAGTTTGGATGCTGGTTTTCTCCATAATCTTGCGTCATATCGTATATATGGGCGATACACATTTTGAAGCATTAATAAGGACCCATTAACATTTACGTAACATTTATAAGACCCCATCTTGAATTTGTACTAAAAGCATGGTACCCACATTTTAAAATTGATATTATTGCATTTGAAGAAGTTCAACTTATGCCAATAAATGTATACCCCAGATTCAAAAACTAAGATATGAAACAAGAACTAAAATACTTTACGTACACTGGAAAAAAGATGTACAAGAGGCAACTTAATTCAAATGTAAAAACTTTATAAAAAAAAAATATTGCGGAACAAGATTGTAATATCTTTGCCTTGATCAGCCTAACACAAGGGAACTTTAAAATCAGAAGAGAATTTGTTAAAAACTGCAATATTTGTCATCAATCTTTAACTAATAGTCTCATCAATGTGGAGCAAACCACCAATTTTATCATCAATGTGAAAGCTTGAACTTATTCAAAACTCGCATTGATAAATATCTTGAGTTTTATGATTTTTAATTTACAACTTAATTTATTTACCTAAAACATTTACTCAATGCATACATTTATTTTTTTAACATCTTTGCTTCCAACAAGGCTGGAAGCAACCACTAATTCCTGTTGGAAGTTAATGGAAGAGAAAAGGTCAAGATTGTAGAGCAATATAACGATTGACAGACGACTTAATAAATTTCGAATAAATGAATCAGGAAAACACGATGAAGGAATCGATTTCCAAAGAACTGATGTTCTAGGACAAAAACTTAAAGAGTTTTTGGAGCTCTTAGGAACAGTCATAGAAAAAGAACGAGACTTAATATAATTTATATGATTTCAAAGTAAAATCTATTACTGTTAATTTTACTCGTATTTTTTGAACTACTACAGCTTTCTATTATGTTATTATATTTTATTATTATTTTTATATTTTAGTTATTTTTAGACATTTAATCTAACTTAATTTAGTCAATTTTATACATTTATTCAAATTATTACTTTGTACACGATTAGCTTCACCCTGTTATGTTAAAGAATTCTTCTTTTTCATTGAAAATTAATGTTAAAGGTGTATGCACTTCCGTAAACGTTATTTTTTAGGGAACCATTAACATCAAGTTAGCTCTCAAATCAAATTAGATCATTTATAACTCTTATTATCAAAAAAAGATAACAAAGCAGTTGCTGCTAATTATAAAACAGTAGTGCGTAACATACTAGAAGGTAATATTAAAACAAACTTATTTTTAAAAAAAGATTTTGATAACAGAACATCAACCCAAAATTCATAAAGAAAAATCATGGACAATAAATGTATAGCAAAAGTTAATTTTATAATGTTAAACATTAAAAATCATACTCTAGTTGATGTTTTTCTACAAGGATTTCATTATGGCATATAAAACAGTTTCTCATAACAGATTGTTGCTAAAATAAAAAACTCATGGTTTTAATGGATTAATACCAAAATGAATTGCATCTTTTCTCAGAAATAGTAGTGATAGTATTAAAAAGAGATTAGTTAAAGGTTTCTCTAATTAAAATAATGGCTTTAGTGCTGTGCACCAGTTATTGAACATTCGTTTTTGTTTTCTAAATTATTAATTTGCCAGATACGTTAAAATGGTTATATAATGATGATACTAAAACTTCATCAATTATAAACTCAGATTAAATAAATATGAATTGACTCAAGACTGGTTGCTGTAGTTCAACGTAATCTAGCCTGTTGTGATGCATTATGGCTCCTTTAATAAGAATTATTAATTTTTGATTAATAGTACAGAGCTTTATGATTCTGGGTTTGAACAAGAACTTGTAGTTATTTTTCAAAACGTTAAATGGAAAAGTCAAATAACTATAGCAATTAGTAAAGCGAATTAAATGCTGGGTAAAATAAAGTAATTGTGTACACGATTTTACTTTCAACTTATGAGGTCTTTTTGTTTAACATTCATTTGCCCACTGAACATCAAACGTGTTACAAAAATCAATAATAACACATTGCAAGTAACAAGTGACAAAGATGAAGTCAGCAATGGAAAATTCTAATCTGACACTGGGATTGGCAATTATTGGCTGATGACTACTGTTTTAAAAACAATCGTCATTCTACTTTTAATTATGCACCCCTACTTTTTAACAGAGCTGCAAATTTGGAATTTATTTTCCATTAATTTTGTAACATGAGTGCACAATACATACATCATTATTGGCACATTTTGAATTAATTTAATATTTGTGTCAAGAAATGTTTTTAATTTTTTTTTAATTTTTATAGGAGTATAATAAAATTAATAAATTTAAAGTGAGACTATTTATTTTTTAATTTGATAAATTTTTGAAACATTAAACCTAAAAATGAGATGTCTCCTGATTGAATTGGCCCCATGATTGGGATTATATTAAAACTTTTTCAAATATAAGCCATAGATGGAACGCTAGAACTTGTGTAAGTTGCTTGCATTTGAAAATAATTATTGGAAAGTTTGTAAAATACTTGTCTAATTATAAAAGGTCATCTTTAGCAAAAATAACTTATAATTTTTTTTTTGTATGCATTATACGAGGCTAGTAACAATAATTTAGTTAAATTTATTTTTATCCAGTTTTTTTCATTTGAACACAACGTGAGTTTTGTCTAGGTTGTCTCTTTAACTGCTTTAAAGTGCAATAATTTAGTTGACAGTTACTTTTTAGAATGTATTCTCTTACAACATTCCAAAAGTGTCACCTGGATTGACGGAGCACGGGTTTTATGTAAGTATATGTCTTTGTAAATATTTTAAAATAAAGTTATCGTTTATTTATCTGAAGTACCCTAACACTCTTTAGATAGAGTAAACATTAAATATGTATTATTTTAGAAATAATAAAATTTAATGCTATTCGGCATTACATAGATGATTTTTTTCCCTTGAATTCCCGAATTTAAATAAAATTCCTTAAAGTTTTAGGAAATTTCTGAATGTTTTGCAATTAGTTTAACAAATATGTTTTCAATAACTGAAATTTACACAAGACCAATTTATTATTATTATCTTTTAATTTAACGTTTTTGTATATTAGAAATTCCCTTTCATAAAAATATTAGTTGATGTAAATTCCAATTTATAAGTTTATGTTCTCAATTATTACAATTAATAAGAAAAAATGTTAAAATGGAAGTTAAGAGTTTAATCTTACATTTCTGAGATATGTAGTTTTATCATAACAATATTTTAAACAATATGTGAAGAATGCTTTTATTGTGGAAGTGAAGGGAAAAAATCTTTACTCAGCTACTCAAAGTTTAAAATGCCTTGCCAAAACTACGCAACAATTAAGTCAAACGAATTTTTTTACTGATCAAAAAAACAACAGATATTTGCATATTGCTATACTGCACTTTGGTTAACGGTCTTGTTGGCAGTACTTGCACAAAAGTGTGAAGCCTACTATTAAACCTATTTTAGTTTTTAGAGATTGGGTATCGAATGCAGAAGCTTGCATTTATTTGTGAACACAATCTACGATTATCTTTAACATGCCACATGATAGAATTCGCAAAGAAAATATCTAAGATCACCGTGTTTTAAAAAAATTGAAAATGTTTAGAACAGCTGCTTCATATAAGGTGCAAAAAGGACTAGGTGAAGCTTTTTATGCTGATCTTGTTTTTGATACGAAATTAAAATGTTGACATAGATGACTGTTTCTTCGCAAAAAATGAAAAAATTCTTAGTATATTCGTTGCAAATTTTTGCGACTAAATTATAAAGTTGTATTAAAACACTATGTATCTAAAATTGTATTAAAACACTATGTATCATTATTGCTTGTTGTAGTTAACGCTAAAAATCTTTTTAATGTTGTTATTCATTTATTCAATAAAAATGAAACTCTATTAAGTAATCTTCTTTTTAAATTATCAGATTCTGACAATTATATGAGAAGTAAAAGCAGTGAGTTTGAAACGGAAAAGTTGTTTCTTATTTAATAATGATGGTGATTTTTGTAATTATTTGACAAAATTTTATATATTATGGTGATTATTTAACAAAATTTTAAAAAGGCTATCATCATCTGCACAATTTTATCAAAAATGTTATTTCTTTTTTCAACATATTAGTTAAAAATTTACTCGATGATATCTACATTGATTTTAAGTTCAACCCAGATCTTCGTACATTTTTGTACCAAGATTTTTCAAATCTTTCTAAGATTATGTCTTCTTTTCTTGTCTTTCTAGAGTCACACCACTCATCCGTCTGATCATGTTCTCTTTTGGTGAATTCTATTCTATACAAATACTAAAGTTTATATAACGATGAAGGGATATTGTATGCCAGCATCTATATAAATAGCAAACATATATGTTTATTATATAATATGTCTGCATAAAGTGCATCTTGAAAATTTTTATTCTTTCCGGAATAAAAGTTTGGAAGTTTTTATTACTTCTCTTTAGTTTAAAGTCAAGCCTCGTTCTACTCCACATTTTTTACCATCATGAGCAGTTGCGTTATTAAACATTAATCATTTTATTCATATTTTTTACAAGAACATTTCTCTTTAGAACAAATGTCTTTTTATTATTTCAAAAATCTTATGTAAAAAGGTCTTGTCTGATGTTAAGCTCTGTTGCTCTCAGTTTACTAAATCTAGTATATTATTTCAGCTGTTAGGTTCTAGTGACTTTTGGTTAGTGTTCAACACTGCAATTAACTAAAGTTAGTCTAACGTTTAATCTATAATTCATGGATCTTATCTTTTTACTTCTCACCGGATTTTCTACTTTTTCCCAGAAAGCAGAGTTGTTTGCAAAGAAATCTAACTCTTATTTGATTCTTGACTTTAATGGCCATTTTCTTCCTGTCAGTTGAACAAGTTAACCAATTGTTAAACATAAAAATCTCTCTGTCTTCCGATGCTAAAGTTAATTCTCAATTAAAAACTTAATTCTCAATTATTATCGGTACAGTTAGTTGAACTGAAAAGCATTTCTTCTTAAATGCTGATGATTTTCTTTTCCTGATGTATAAAAAAATACTTATAAAAAATACAATAATAAGAAATGTGGATGAAGTTAATTTTATTTAAAAGTGTATTTGTTTAGACAACTAAATATAGGCAGGTTTTTGATGAAAAAATTGTTTTCTAATAAACAATAATTTCTGACATATTGATATATTGAGCTGCTTTTGCCATTTTTTGATATTTTAAATGTTTTTGTATGACTTTGCCACAATTTGATCCACTGTCGGCTGGAAAAGACCAGGTGCGGATGCAGCATTTTTTGATGTTTGAAATGCCAAGTTTGCTCTATATCTAAAAGGTAAGTATCTCAAACATCAAAAAATCCTGCATCTGCGCCTGAATACAGTTGTGTTCAGCTGATGTTCATTTGTTTTTTGAATATTTTAGAATTTGCTCCCATTATCTACTAATTTTTAAAGGTTAAACAATAATGAGGGTTATTGTTGGTATATTTGCCTGTTTTCATATTAACGTAATGCCTAAAACAAATAAATATAATGCTTAAAATAAAATAATATAATACTTAAAACAAACAAGTATAATATTTAAAGCAAATAAATATAATACTTAAAGAAATATATATCATGCTTAAAACTAGGTTTTTATTAATAAACAAATTTATGAATAATTTTAGGCATTTATTTGTAATATATGCATTTATATATATATATATATATATATATATATATATATATATATATATATATATATATATATATATATATATATATATATATATATATATATATATATATATATATATATATATATATATATATTTATATATATATAGGTATCACATTTAATGGTTTATGAGTTTGCAAGTATATTTGCAGTATAATATTTTAAAATATATAATAAAATAACGGAATAAGTATTTCAACCAAAAAGCATTTATAAAAGTAAATGTTTTAACAATTAATTTTATTTTTAAATTAGTTTTAACTTTAAATAATTAGTTAAGTTATTATAACTTAAGTTATTACAAAAGTAAAAATGGTTTATTTATTGATTAAGTTTTTTTTATAATACAATTTGATTTGCAGTTTTGTAAAGAAGTTTTTTTTTTAGAATGATCATGTTCAATATTGTGTTTTAATACATAAAACTCCAAAAAGTTCATTTGCTTAGTAAAACATAGTTTTGAACCATATCATAATAAATTTAAAAAGTATTAAGGAACGCTACAAAAATATTTCACTAAAATGATAAAGTATTTTCTTAATGTGAAATGGTATATCTTGGGAATCTAGCATTATTACAAATGATTCTACAAAATCTGATGTTCAAACTTTGAAGTCCAAATATGTCTAAAAATAATAATTTGACATAATTATTATGTCTTTAAGTATTTTAGTTTGTGCAGATTTAATTATCATTTTTTATAAATCTTTTATTTATTTTATTTGTAGATTCATGCTGTTACTTCTACTCCTGGCAATGTTCCTAGGTTCAAAAATGAATATTTTTATCAGTCAATATCTCTTCCTGAAATTGAATGTAAGATGTTTATTAAAAACTGTTGGTTTTATAATAATTTTTTTTTTTTGCTTGTTTATATAAAACAACTGATTGTACTTTTGATTGTGGTATAATCGTGTTGTTATACTGATTGTACTGGTTTTGAGGTAATCGCACATTTATAAAATTTTATTTATAACATGTCTTAAAATATTTTAACATGAACATCAACAATTTTCAGAAATCCTTAAGTTAAAGAAAACAAGTTACTTTGTTTCAAAAAACCTTACACTTTATTTAGATTATATTGTTTTTCGGTTTTTTACCGAGGTAAAATTATCAGTTTCGATGCAAATATAAACAAGTTAATAACTTTTTTTTACCATCTTCGCTTCCAACAAGGCTGCCAGCAGCCGCTAATTAGAGTTGGAGGTTAATGTAAGAGAAAAGATAAAGATTGTAAAGCAATATAACGATTAACAGACGACTTAAAAGATTGCAAAAAGTATGAATTAGGATATCAAGAAAAGAGCAATTATTAGAGAAAAATAATTATTAGAAAGGGCATTATTAGAAGATTGACCCAGATATAGCAATAGTATTCCATGCAAGGCCATATTCGAGATTTACAGAAATCCAGAATAAGAAAGTGTCGAGTTTGGTAAAGAGATTTAAAAAGAAAAAAGTGTCGAGTTTGGTAAAGATAATATGCAACTTTAGCAGATTCTAATTTTGCAATGGATTAGATATATGTATTCTAAGAAGGATCAGAAGTATTATTTAATCCTAGAAGATGAAGGGAAGATGAATTATTGATTACTTTACCGTTTAAAAATATAGGAAGGCCTAAATTATTGCAATAACGATTGGCTCAAAAAAAAAAATTGTTTTATCTGAATTAAAGTTCAAAAGTCACTGTGAGCCCCATGCTCTAACAGAAGTAAGTTTTTTTTCAAGCTTAAATGTCCCCTCCAAGCAATCAGAGAGTGTTGGCATTTTATCATGACAAGAATAAATGGTAGAATCATCAGCAAACAATACCATTTTAGGTGTAAGAATATCTGGAAGATTGTTAATACAAGTTAAAAAGAGTATAAGGCCAAGGATTGAACCTTGAGAAACCCAATAATTTACAGAATAAGAAAAAGAGTGCTGCCTATGGAGGACAACTTTTTACAACAATTGAAATAGAAGGATTCAATAATTTTAAAGGTGTTACCAGATACACTGTAAGAAGATAGCTTATCAAGGAGACCAGCATCCTAAACTCAATCAAAAGCTTTAGAAACGTTAAGAGCGATAGCCTTAACCTCTTCACCTTGATTTAATGCTCGATAAAACCTGTAATCAGTTATTACTGTTACCAAATCAGGTAATGAACTAGAAGATCAAAATCCATATCGTTGATCAGAAAGTCAATTATTAGATTTAAGATGAGAGATTAATTGTTTAGTAATTAAAGATTCAAAAACCTTGCTTACCATAGGAAAAAGACTATTGGGACGGTAGTTGGACGAATCAGATCACTCTCCAGAACTTTTGAAAATAGGGATAACAAATGCCGCTTTCCAGCAGGCTGGAAAACAAGATTCTGATAAACACTTGTTGAATAGTTTTGAAAGTTTAGACAACATCCTAATTTTTGTAATTTACTAAGAGATTTCATGACCGGAGAATAGCGGGCTTTGGCGTTAAACAAAACCTTTTTACAATGGTTTCTAGCAGTAATAAATAGAAATCTGTTTTCTGGTTAATTTATTTGCTAATAGATATTGCAGTAACGGTTTCGATTGGCAATAGCAGCAGCACAATGTAAAGAAAACTATGTATAAGATTGAGGCTTGACCTGGAATTAAGAGGGAATAAAAGATTCCATGCTAGCCTAAATCCATGAAGTTATGTAAGAAGCACATTTATCAACTGGAAGACTAAAGATTTCAACCAAGGGCCATCACAAAGAAAATCACCAAAAGAGTCTCAGTCAGTTTTAATGTAGTTGTAAGAGGTACAATGATAAAGGGATTCAGATGATGAAGAAAAATGAGATAATAATTTTATATAGATCAAACTGTGATCAGAAGCACCTAAGAATAAATGTGGAGAAACTGAGCACTGCTTAGGATCAGAAACAATAAATAGGTCGAGTAAAGAAGGTCAATGATTCGGGTTATCTGGAAAGCAAGTTGGAAAATTGACTATTTAAGTTAGAGATTGAGAGAAACAAAAGTTGTGGGCCTTAACGCCTGCAGTTTTATTGACTCTAGAGCCAAGCCATTTAGTGTGATAAACGTTAAAGTCACCAACAACAACAATATTGGCTGATGAATAAAGAGAGTGGGCTCGGTCAATATGATCAGAAATAACATCAAAAAGAGTGCAGTCTCGACATGAAGGAGAGCGATTTAGAGCTAAGAAAATGGCGATAGACTGAAGTAGTGCTAAACAAAAGAACATAAAAGAATAGTCTATGGATTCAAATCTATTTTCCCAACAAACGGGTGAATTCTCACGAATGTAAATGCCCAGGCCAATTATATGAATATTTAGTCTTTACAAAGTTTTTACGAATTTACGAGTTTATGAGTGTACGAATTTAGGATTATTTACGATTTAAAAGAAGATAACCATCAACACTAAGATCACAAGATAAGACAGCTGAACTCAAACAAGCCTCACAAAGAAAAAGTATGTCTGATGAACTTTACAAGAAAAGAAAATTCACCAGACCTACTTAAAAAACATAAAAAAAGTTACTTCAAAAACCATAAATATTAGTAAATGATATGTTTAGAGAACTTGGTGATGACGATGGTTTTTGTGTTTTATACTTTTTGGAACTTTATTCATTTTTAAACTTGTGAAAGAACTTGACTCAAAGCATAGATAGTACTCATTACACTGTTTAATAGCCCATACAATTGTCTTATTACTTTTAATAAACCCTAGTTCGTAACAAAGGGCTCCTAGATAGCCTTTGCAATGAACTTAAAAAGTAGAAACAGGGACAGCATCTATGGCACTGTTAATACTTTGATATTTTTCAGCTGTTGATGGAATCAGCCTCTCGGAGAGCTACAACAGAGTTTGGCAAACCTAATTAGCAGCAGGCTTCAGATCCATAAAACTGAGTTTTAGAGCTGTACCCTCACTAGGAGATGATAAAATGAGACGCCTAGTCATAAAAACAGAGACACAAGCAAACCCATGTATCGAGTAAAAAAGATCCAGAATTCAACACCCTAAACTGGAAACAATATATTAAAAATACATATGTGCCAGCCTAATAGATGAAGAAAGTGTCCGATGCTGGTAAATAATTAGAATCTGTTTACCCTTTAAGTCTTTGCCTAGTAGTCCTTCTACAAGACAGTAGATGGATGCATTTAACATCTGCCCAAGGTGAGCGTTTTTGTCGAGACACCATCTTTAGTCTTTACTCAACCAAGAACCCTAGTAAAGTGATGTTTTTAGTCGGAATTGGTATCTCCTAGCCTTTACCTGAAAAGACGTACCCTACAAAGCAGCAGGACATGAAGCATATGATAGTGGGTTAATTACGCATTAAAAAACCTTTTCATTCTAAGCTTTAATATATGTACTTTTTTTCTTTTAGTTTGTTTCAAAATATTAACATTTACATTAAAAAAATTCATATTTGTACAAATAAAAAAATAATAAAAAAGTTATTTTATACTTATTATAAAAGCTCAAAGTGTTTCGTTACTTCAATTCTTCATTAAAGTTCTTTTCAATAATATAGAAGCATTAATAATATAGAAGCATTAAAAATAAAGAAGCATTAATAATATAGAAGCATTAATAATATAGAACCATTAATAATATAGAACCATTAATAATATAGAAGCATTAATAATATAATGAATTAATAATATAGAAGCCTTAATAATATAGAAGCATTAATAATATAGAAGCATTAATAATATAGAAGCATTAATAATATAGAAGCATTATTAATATAGATGCAGTAATAATATAGAAGCATTACTGATATAAACGCATTAGCAATATAGAAGCATTAATAATATAGAAACATTGATAATATGGAAGCATTAATAAATATAGAAGCATTAAAGATCAAATTTATTTTACTTTAACGGCTTTCAAAAACACTTGCGTTTTCTTTTCGTTATTAAAATTCGTTATAGAGACTTTTATTGTAAAGGGTCATATTTTAAAAAAACAAAATAATTTTTAACTTTTAATAACTTTTGTTATAAAATGTGCATACTTAAATATTTTCTATAATATATAAATTGAAAAAATTGTATACAACTGATACAATGACACTAATAATACTTAAAATCATTATCCATAAATTGTTACTCTATTTAGAAGCGTTTCGTTAATATAAAAAGGTTTTTTAAGAAGTATATAATTTATTTCACCTAAGGTATAATTCAAAATACTTTTATTCAGCATGTTTTTGAAATGGTTTTTCAAATTGCTGCAGTCAAATTGTCAAAACAAAATGTGATTTGTTTTGACAATTTGACTGCAGCAATTCATATAAATCTGTTCATATAATGGTGTGCAATTGCGCGGCTTCCTGCGAAACACTGCAATCAATATATTCAAAAAATTTATATAGAAATAACAACATAACAATAATGGATAATGTTAATGATCATTATAATAATTCAAATAAGTGTTAAGGCCATTGTCAATTAATTAGAATTTTGATAAGAAGTGAGAGACCAATATAAAATTAATATAATAAAAAGAATGATAACTGCAGTAACAAGATTGCAGTAACAAGGAAGATGCAGATAGACAATTAAAACTAGGTTGCTATTATCCTTTTTTTATCTTTAGAGAGCACAACGCCAAACTACATAAAGTTAAACTTTTCATTGCATTCTTCTATAGAAAAAAAATTACAGTAGCAACCCTAAATAAAGCTATACTCGAATTTAAAAGACAACTATAATATAAACAAAGCAAAAAACACAAAAGTATATCAAATAAGAACTTTATAAATATATATATATATATATATATATATATATATATATATATATATATATATATATATATATATATATATATATATATATATATATATATATATATATATATATATATATATATATATATATATATATATATATATATTAGTTTTTGCAAGAAAAAATGTTTTTTGTGTTAAGGAGCTCCAAAATTGTTAAGAGATTTAGAGAAAAAAAATGTTTAGAGCACAGGAACTAATAATTTTGTGCTCAAATAGAACTATTATTATTATAGAGTTTTTTATACTTACAATATATTGTTGTTTAGAAACTTAAGAAGTTTTAAATGGGTTTGTACAAAGTATATATTTTTTTAATATTAGTGCAGAACTTAATTAACTTAAAAAAATCTCATCCTTTAAAACTTACATCTTTAGAAGTTGATTAACTGCTTTATTGCATATATATTACAGTATTTTATTCAAACATTGTTTAATTTTTGCAAGGTGATTATACTCCACTCCACTTTTTGAACAATTAACAAGTTTTTTATAAAACTTTTGAGTAACTGATTAATGACACTTTTTCATATTACTCTTCATTTAAATGAAAGTGACATTTAATAAGAGTCGAAAATATATCTCTAGATGATGATATTATTAAGTTTTTATGATCACTTTATTAAAAGATGTAACAATAGAACAAAAAGAATAAAGTTTCAAAACATTTTTAGAGCATAAAAATCAACATAAAGTTTATTTTTTGTTAGTGGGGTTATTAAACCCCAAATTGCGGTTTAAATATAAAACTGGATTTTAATGATATATTGTTCAATAAGACACATAATAATTGACCATTTAAATACAATGCATGATTAGCAGTTTGCCCTCTCATTAAGACTCAACATAATTTATACTCTTTTAAACAAAATACAAAATAGATCAAACTGCAATCAAACAATACCAACATTTTGTTTCTTTTTTTTAAAAACTTGCTTCTAGGAAGACTGCAAGCAATTACTATTTAAGCAATTACTGTTTGAATAACTGAAAGTAAGGAAAAGTTAAAAAGAAGTTAAGTGTTAAAAAGAAAAAAAAATGATTGACAGAAAACTTAAAAAACTAAATTTGTATGAGCTTAAGGAAATATGCAAACAAAGAAAACTTCAAAGCATTGATGTTTAAGTAAAAAAACTTGATAAATAAAAGTTTTTTTAAGCATGAGAAAACAATTAAAATGAATGTATGTGTTTTAGTTGGTGAATCAAAATGTTAGCTTTATTAAGCAGCACTCTTTTAGAATCATTCATAGTCAAAAACTCAACTATTTTAATTAGGTCAATAATTATCTTCTTGTTGATGAACAGTGATGTTCTTTTTGGTTGAGTAAAAATGATGATCTTTTTGTTGGAAAGCAATCATGATCTTATTGTTGATGAGCAAAGATGAACTTTTTGTTGATGAGTGATAATGTTTTTTTTGTAGATGAGCAATGATGATCTTTTTGCTTTTTAAAACTGTTGTATCAACAAAAGGAGTTTTTTGTCAATAAGGAAGTTGTTAAAACTGCAATACAGTACTTTTTCTATAATTCTTGCCAGATGAGCAATGATGGTTAATAGTAACGTTATGCATGCTATCTAGCAGGGCTATGGAGTCAGAATCGGAGTTGCGGAGTTGTGACATTTTTAGCGGAGTCGGAATCGCTAAACAAAATTGCGACTCCGACTCCGACTCCAATAGTAAAACTTCTCGGTATTGCACGTGCATGTACAAAACATTCAATTAACCTTATGTTCATACTAAGCCTCAAAGAACGTTTCATAAATTTGTCAAAAAAGAAATTTTTAACTTATCGCGTAATATTTTTTTAAGAATTTAAAGAGTTTTTCAAAAGTTTCGCTTTGGAGTTAGAGTTGGAATTGGAGTCAAAGTCGGAGTTGTGCTCAAAAAATTTTAACAACTGAAGTCGGAGTTATACTTAAAACATTTCAACAGCTAGAGTCGGAGTCGTTACTTTTTTTTTACGACTCCACAACCCTGCTATTTAGATAAATGAAAACTCATTTTCTAGGAAATTCAATAAAATAATAAATATTGATTTATTACTTAGTATTTTGCTTTTAATAATTTTTTGAATAATTTAAAACCAACTTTTGACTTCATTTAACAAACCAAAGATTATAAAAGTTTGTGTCAGATTACTCTTTGAGGTAAAACTAAAAAATATTTTTTTTATCTTTTAGATTTAATTTTAAAACTATTAGTCTCAGCGACATGAAATTTGTATTTGTCTAGTGATGAGACAAATACAAATTTTTAGCTGCCAAATTATAAAGTGATTCATCAATTTAGCGGATCTGGGAAGAAAAGAGGGGGTTTGTGTGTATTTATAAGTAATTCTTTATTATACAAGCTAAAAAAAAGATTTGTGCTCAGCTAATAATGATTGTGAATTTGTTATTTCAGCTATGCGTGGGAATAATACATAAAACCACAGCAACATTATCACCCACGTTTAATACAGAAAACCTTCCGGCTCAATAAAACGATTGGAAAATCAAATTGAAATCATAATTAAAAACAAATCGAGCGAAAATAAAAGCATTTATATTTTAGATGATTTCAACCTTGATCTAAACATGAGTCTTTTAGATACGAAAATAAATAATTTCTTTAACCTTATTTAAAAAGGCTACATTCCACTAATTAATAAATCCACAAGAATAACTAAAACAGCGCAAAAGTCATAGATCAAATAGTTACCAACAAATTCAAGTCAAAAATAAAAAACAGGAATATTAAAATGCGGCATTTCAGCTGATGTATTCTCTTCTCTCCGTTAAAGCGACTTTCCACTCATCCGTATTTTTAAGCCCGTTCTCCATTCAAAACTTTTTGCGCTTTGGAGAAGCGGAAAGTTCTTTGACATAGGCACAACACTGCTTTAGTTTCAAATATTTCTTCCTCATTATAGAAGTCACAAAAATTTAAACATTTTCATCAAAACATAATACTTCAGATTTATTTTTTTAAAATCAAAGCAGCTTAATACAAACATCCTCCAAAGTGCTGCTATCTGATTTTATTGATTGGAGGGCTACCACCCTAAAGCAGTGGATTACCTAGCTTGCATATATACTTTATTACACCAGGACTTATAAGTATTTATCTATGACAATATATCTTGTGAAGAGTTGTTATAGGATTTATAAATTTATAATTTAATTTAAAAAAGTGACTTTACAGTTGTAAAAACTCGTAGATAAACATGAAAACACTCTATTTTTAAGTAAAGTTAGCTAAGAAAAAACGTTTTTGAATGATTTTTTAAAGATCTCTTAAAATTTTAAATTGAAAGATAAAAAAATTCTTATTAAAACGTGTTTAAAACGTTTTACTTATACAACCATCATTGAAGCGACCCAAAAATAATTTACAAAATATTTGAAAAACGTACATGTGCCCACCGTGTTATAAATAAAAGGCTTTTTAATACTTTTACTTTTCAGGTCCAACATCAAATGAAAAAGTTTATATTAAACGTAAGTTTTTGCATTTATAAAGTATTGTTTATTTTTTTTTTAATCTATATTTCAATTGAAATCGTGTTAATATAAATTCAAATAATGAATGATAAAACATTGTGCAAGAATGAAGATTATTTGAATCAAGCAATTGCTGTTATTAAACATAACAAAGAATTTAGTAGTATTAGTTCTAAAACACATAGAAAAATATTTTTTATTGAGAATTTGAAAAATCAAAAAGAACAAATTTTTAATTTTAAGATATAAATTTTATTCAAATCTTTTTTTATTCAAATCTTTCTTTCAAAATTTTAAATCAAAATTTTAATTTTAGGCTGAATCTAAAATCATAAACCTATAAAAAAAAACTTTATATTTAAAAATAAAAACTAATTTTTATTAAAATGATTTTTTGTTTGTTTAGAAAGCATGCTAAATACTATTTTTGCAATTTTGTTTCCTATTTTAATCGTTCTTATCATTTTTGTGGTTGTTGTTTTATCAATAATTCGTTGCAAGAAACAAAGAATAACACTTCCAAAGTGTACTATTGATCTTTACACTTTAACAAAGTAAGTATTGACACTTAGAAAGTGCAGTTTTGATTTTTACACTTTTGCCATGTCAGGAGCTATTCTAGGCCGTTTCAGACAGCGTCGACCGTATTTAGGCATTGATTTGGACGCCACCCTAAGTTAAATTTTGAGGACGTTTTTTTTTTTGTTATGTTTTTTACGGCAAATATTGTTATTTCTGCAAAATAACCACCAATTTTCCGCTAAAGTTCGCCGGAACAAGGGTTACCGCAGGCCAAATTTTTTTCCTAGAACAAGCTTTGCATGCAAGTGTTAGCAAGAATAACACTTTAAAAGATAATAGTATTTTAATCGGTGGTTTGAATTATAGTAATAAAAATATAAATAAAATTATGCATAACATAAAGTTTTAAAATTCGCACAAAAGAAAAAAAGTTTAAAAAAAACATTTTGCTGTAGACTTTTTTTTAAAACTCTGATTCACTTCAAACAAGGTTGCAAGCAATAATTATTAAGTTGGGAGTTAATAGAAATCAAGGAATAGAGGTTGGAGAGAGTTCGAATGGGTTGTTTTAACTGACAAGTTAAGTAAGAATGAGTTTTGAATGATAAAATTTAAGATAATAGATTCTTTGAACAGTTACCATGATATTATTTTTAGAACAGAAGGAGAGATGCAACTTTTTAATAATAGAAAAAAGATTCAAGCTAGGCAGATAAAGCAGGTCCAACTAAGTTTAGTCCATTTAAGTTTTTCCATGTTAGTTTGGTCTTTGTATAGAAGAAGAGAGTATTACAACAAGAAAGAGTATGAAAAATGATAACGGTAATACATACAGGAACAAATAATAATATTGATTTGTAGAGAATGATAAAGAGTAGCAACCTTAGCAATTAATTGTATATATGGTTTCAATAAGAGGTCAATAGTGAACAAGAATCTAAAAAGGTATAACGAAGAGGACTCAGTTAGAAGATTGCCATTAATCAATATAGAAATGTCAACAGTATTATAATAGTTGTTTTTTTAGTAAATAACAATGTTTTGTAGGCAGAAGTAAATGAGTGTACGAGCTGTGAATAACTTGTCCAAAATGGAGTCGGTGGGCTACAAAGACCTTTCGCTTAATTGTTTTTGCTGGGACTTTTTAGAGATATTTCATAACTAATTTTAATATAACTATATTGTTCAACTAATTTTACTTCAATGTAGTAATTAAAAATATGTTATTGACACAATATAACTTTTAATGATAGTATTAGGCTGAGTTAAGTTACAATAATATGAAATTATTTATTACATTTTTTCATTAACCTGCATAACCTCTTGATAAAACCTGATATGATTTATCAGGGAATGTTCTTTAAATTAATAAATCATTTCTTTCCAATTGCAAAAACAAAGTTCTCTTTTAAGGGTAACACTCTCCTTCATTTCCAGTAACTTTTAGGGCACCACATTTTTTGCGCTGTATTATTCCTTACTTTATCTGTAGAGCGACAGACAACTTAACAATTAATTTTAATATTAAAATTAATATTAAAATTAATTTAATATTAAAATTAATATTAAAAGTGTTTAATAAGATAAATAAAATTTTATTAAACATATTAAATTTGTTTTTATGAAAAATTAGAAAAACTTTCATTTATAAAAAACAAAACAAGACTCATTTGTGAATATTTTACATTACAGATCAGTTGTATCTTTATAAGTTTTATAAAATATAAATGTTTTAGGTTTTTCCATCTTAAACATGTAATTCACAAGTATCTAGTTTGATTTGAAAATTATGACAGTTAGAGCATTATTTAAATGTGTAATTTATATTTTCAGTAGAGATATAATAGGGTAACTCCTGTTTTAACTTTCTATGTACAAGAAGTTAATAAATATCGCAAACCAAGAAAATTTTAATTTCTTACTTTTTTTTGCATGTGGTATGTTTTTTTTATAGTATTCCTCAATCTGAGTTCAAATATGCAATCCTTTTTCTTCTATCACACCAAGTTTTAAAGAAAAAAGGGTTCCAATTCCAAGTATTTGGAGTAAAATTCCTAGCATTGTCCAAAAAAAATGTAAAAATGTCAACTTGGGTCCTCAAAAGAAGTGTTTTTTTACTGATATTTTCAAAAACTTAAACATAAATTTATTAACAAAAAAAAAGTGTAAAAAACCGCTACTGAGTATTAAAATATTTTGAAAATAATATTTTTTACCAATAAAATGTTATTTTCAAAATATTTGTGAAATAGCGCTTCTTTTGAGACGCAGGTTTTCATGGTTTTGAAGATAATTTTTTTAACATTATTATGGATTTTACCCCAAAATTTTTTTTTTTTTCACGTCAAGTTTTGAAGGTATTAGAATTGAAATTCTAATACCTTTAAAACTTGACGTGAAAAAACAAAAGGTTACATATTTTAAATCAGATTGAGGAATACTATAAGAAAAACATATTGTATACAAAAAAAAGTAAAATTTTGTTAGTCTGTGTATTTTATACTTATTTCATTTTGATGAAAGCTTTTTTTGTGTAATAATATAAATATAAAATATTAACTGAACCAAAATTTGTTTTTTTTAAAGTAAGATTAAAAATAACTTTTGTTGCTTATATTTAGTCTAACAATTTGCAACAACTTACAAATTTTTAATTAACTATTAAAATTGTTTCAATTTATAACATCTTATTTTAAATAGAAAACCCTTTCAGCTGCTTAAGTTTCTGCTATTGTTTGGTAATTTTTTTTGTTTTAATCTTTATAAACTTTTACAGTAATTTATATTTTTATAACTTTTGTATTATTATATTGTATGTACAAAAAAATATGTCTTATTATATTTTTAATTAGGTCAAAACAAATTAGTAAACTTGTTAAATATTTTACCAACAATTTTTACAGGTTCATGTTATACTAAATAATGATATATAAACTTAATAATGTAAATACAAACAGAAGAAAATATAAATGGAATAAATTCACTTATTTTATTCATATCTAATTTATTCCATTATAATTATAATTCTATTTATTTAAAATTTCATACTTAGAAAACTTTTTATGTTATATTATATGATATAATTATTTTATTTTAATGAACACAAGTAAAATTTAGCAAAAAAATGTTACTGTTTATTGTTTTTGTTTAATTTTTTAGAAAAGCAGATGAGTGGGAAATCAGTCCAGAATGTATTGTTTTAGATAAGAAAATTGGTAAAGGGGCTTTTGGCACTGTCTTTGTTGCAAAAATCAATGTAAATGTTCTTGCTAAAACAAAAAGTGTTCTTCAAAAACTTGATTCTTCTTTTCGTGAAAGTAAACATCTTAATGTTGCTGTTAAACTTTTAGGAGGTTAATTAATGTTATATTTTTAAATTCTATTGCAGCATTTATATTTGTTAACATACTATTTTTTATAAAACATGCATAATAATATTATGTATACTATTATGCACACATTACCACATATCATACCTACACATTATGTAGGTAGCATATATATACAAAATCTAAATATATTTTGATAACTTTATTTAAGGTTTATTATTTTAAGGTTTTTGCAGATTTTAATTTAAATGTGCAAATGTAATCAAAAAAAAATTTTCATACTTAATTTTTTCTTTAACTTCTATTATTATTTATGATTTTTGTTAATAAAGCTGGCACATCTATAATTAAAACTAAGATTTCTTTTAATGAAGCTAGCACATTTAAATACTTTTTGATAACTCACAAATTCAGAACTGGATGAAGACTTTCAGAGGAAGCTGTTGACTAGCCTTGTATTTCTTTTTTATCTAATAAGCTAGCATGGTTAAAAACTTTTTTTCATTGTTTCCTAATTATGATGATAAGTGTTAGATCATCTTGACTCAACACAGTTTCATGAGCCCTTTGTTACCATTTTGTTTAACAGGAATAAAACAACTGAACAGCTCACTGCTAAGGGTACAATTCGCTATAAAGATTTGAGTCTATTTTTTTTTTAAATTTAATTATAAAAGAGTATTTAAAAATACTAAATAAAAGAATCATGATTACTTTTAAACTGTTTTGATCTCTCTTTTCACAAGCTTTTGTTTTCCTTAAAAAAACTTTTCAGCAGTTAGGATCAATCTTTGAACGTCTTGCTTACAAAACAAGCGCTCTGTCACCACACCACTAACCGACACCTTACTGCTACCATACCATTAACAGCTATAATTTGTATAAGTTAAAATCATAAACCACATTGTTTAATGAACACTCTAGCTTTTTCCACAATGGAATTAAACTTTTAATTGACCGTTAAGAATCGTACAAACATCAATTGAAGTATTTTAGAGACATTCTTTTCTTGGCACTTAGTTACAAGTCTATTTTTAGTTTTGATATTTATTTCTGACAACTCTTTAGTTAACTATATATTGTTTTCTATGTTATTACAACAAGTGTTTGTTTCTCTTTTCAAATCAGGAGTAACAGTTGAGTACAATTTCAAGTATTATTTCTATCATTTCAATGGCTAATGCATTTTATATGGTTTTGAAATATCTTGAGTTATTCAAAGTTTATTTCCAGTTCATTTCCAGAAGTTTTTAAATTGAATTGAATTATTAACTTTTAGTCGCAGTAAAAGAATGAGACTTAAATGAATGATGAGTAACACAAGATTGAACTTTATTGGATGGCACAAGAGACGCAAACTCTTTAGACCAGCGCCCATTATATTATATTTAGAAAAGAAAAAGCAACATTACAATGATTGACAATATTTGAAAGTTGGCTGCAAGAGCAGGTCCAACTATGTTTATAACGTGTTTTTGTACCTTTTCTAAAAGAGAAAGAACAGCAGTATTTCATACAAGACAGAGATAAAAATCCAGAGTAGAAACATGGCAAACACAATAAACAGATGGAACCTTAGCAGATGCTTAAGTTGCGATGGATTTAGTTTTTTAAGAAATATCAGAAATATTAATCCCAGAAAACGAAGAGTAGATGACTCATCAATTACATTACCATTCATAAATAGAAAATCTATATTATTGCAGAGTTTGATCAGAGTTAAAGCTCACTTGCCACTGAAGGCTACACGCTGTAGCAGAAGTAAGATTAAAGATCAAATGTCCCCTCCAAGTAATCAGATAGTGTAGGCTTCTTATCAAGACAAGAATAAGTTGTGGTATAATTAGTAAATAAACCCACTTTATACGTAAGATTTTCTAGGAGATCGTTAATGTAAATTTAAAAGAGTCTAGGGTCAAAAACTCTTGAAGTTACAGGAAATGAAGAAGAGTGCTCTCCATCAAAGATAACTTTTATACTATGATTGGTAAGGAAGGATTCAATATTCTTAAAGATGTTACCTGATACACACTACAAGAAGAGCTTATATAGAAGATCAGCACGCCGAACCTCATCAAAGGCTTTAAAAATGTTGAGAGCCCTTGCTTTAACTTCTCCACATCTATCTTATGTATAACAAAACCTATCTGCTAGCAGCGTTATCAAATACTAGAAAGAAAAGATTGAAATCAAGATGAGAGATTCAGTGTTTGCTAATTAAAGACTCAAAAACTTTGCTAATTATAGTAAGTAGACTTATGAGGCGGTAATTAGAAGAGTCACATTGTTCTCCAGAACTTTAAAAAATAGGGTTAACATATGTGGTTTTCCAGCAGGATGGAAAACCAGACTCTAATAAGCTCTTGTTAAACAGTTTTGAAAGTATAGATAAGAGCTCAGGCAAATACTTTTGCAAGATTATAACAGGTATGTTTTCCAAGCGTAGAAGAGTCTTAGTAGGAAATCACTTTAAATTTAGTAGATGGAATTATACAAATCTCAAGCAATAGATCAAACTGTTTGTTGGTTATATCAGATAAGATATGACTAGTGAAAGAAAAATATGAGATTGATGAAAAGTCTTTTAGATGGAACAACAGATTTTCCCTTATTATAGACACTGTTAAAGATTCTCCGAAGATCTCTCTGGAGCCTTATTTTTGAGATGAAATTCAAGATTTTGTGAGCTGAGAAAATTTACAATTTACAATAATGTCTAGCAATAGTAAATTGACATGTTTTCTAGAGAATATTTTTTTGATAATAGATATGGAAGTAATGGTTAGGATTGGAAATTGCATCAGCACAAGGAGAAAAAAACAATGGAGTGAGGATTAAATTTGAATTTTCAATAAGGAAAAAAAGATTCCATGCCAGTCTCAATCCTAGAAGTTACATAAGAAGCGCATTTGCTAGCAGCAAGATAAAAATAAAATTTTTACCCCTCAAAAAAAAAATCACGAAAAAAGTCAGATTTAAGGTAGTTATAGGAGGTACGATAATCGGGGGGTTACGATGATGAAGAAGAATTAGATAATAGCTTTAGAGAGATTAAACCGTGATCAGAAGTACCTAAGGATGAAGGTGGAGAAACTGAGCACTGACTAAGTTCAGAAACAAGACGTAAGTTGAGTAGAAAAGGTAAATGACTTGAATTGACGGAACGCGAGTTGGAAAGTTGATTATTTGAGTTAGAGATTGAAAAATGCAAAATGTGTAGGCCTTAACGTCTACAGAGTCACTGACAGATGTTGTTTGCATAGTATAAAACTTCTTAAAATATTTTTTTAATTTTTTTGAAAGTTTTCTTGTCTGTAGGAAAATTTTTTAGTATAAGTATTATTGTGTCATTATTAATTAAATTTGAACCTTTTTTTTAATCTAGAGGGTGCAAACCAATCAGAAATAAACGATTATTGTGAAGAAATAAATCTAATGAAAAGAATTGGGTAAATCATAAGAATATTGTGAATATAATAGGTTGCTCTACAATAAAAAAACCTTTATGTTTGATTGTTGAGTTTATGGAGAATGGAGATTTGTTACATTATTTAAGAAATAAGCGCAACAAAGTAGGATTGTTTTTTCATACTTACAATGATTCCTACTGAATTCTTTATCTTATTAGTGTACATTTTTTTAGGTTTGCTTGCCTCAAGTCGATTCAGGATTATCTATTGGCGAAAGAGATTATAGAGAATCAACATTAGGCTTTCCAAATTATGAAAAATCCTTTGAGGTTATTCTTCTGAATATATTATTCTAGACCTTCTAACTTATTTTTAAAATCGTTAACTGTAATTTTTTTTTATTATATATTTTTTTTGGATTAAAAAAAATAATTAGTTTTTTTTGTAATTTTATTAAAAAATTTGAAAATTTTTATGTTATTTTATGTCTACCCACGTTGTTAATGTCTTCTTTATATTATAATAATTTTATGAATTTGCTTTAGGCAACATCAACAAATGAAAATACTAAATCTGAACTAATAAATTTTAAATATGATTTAACAATAAATGATGAATATTTAAATGAATAACACAAGATGATTTACAACACAAGATGTTGATAACACAAGATGATTTACTTAGTTTTGCATGGCAAGTGGCTTCAGGAATGGTATAAATCTGTTTAATTTTGCCTTTTTTTTGCCTTTTTCAGTTCTTTAACTATTTTGTTATTATTGTTATTATTATTATTACTATTGTTATTATTATTATTATTTAAACTTGTTATTTAGGAATATCTTTCTACTTTAAAATTGGTACATCGAGATCTTGCTGCTAGAAATGTATTGATTGGCACTAATAATAATGTTAAAGTATCCGATTTTGGTCTGACAAGAAATGTAAGTGATGACTTAATATATATGAGCAAAAAAACTCATCGTTTGCCGGTCAAATGGATGTCAATCGAAGCTTTATCTAATCAACTGTTTACGACATATAGTGACGTGTAAATGTTTGTTTTTTTTTGTTGTAAATATTTTTGTTTATAAACGTTTTTAAATTATAATTATAAATATTAAAAAAAAATTTTATTGGTATGTTTGAGGTGGTCTTATGGCGTTGTTTTGTTTGAAATTGTTACACTTGGTAAGTGTCTGATAACTTTTTTTACTCTGAAAATTTTATTTTCTTGTTTATTTCTAAACGGTTTGTAGGAGGCACACCTACCCTACTATAAGTAATCGTGAACTTATGGATCTTTTGAAGTCTGGATACAGAATGGAGAAACCACAAAACTGCTCTGAAACTATGTAATTAGTTTGTGCAATTTTTTATTTTTTTTTATTTATTTTTTTTTTTGTATATATAATTTGACTTTTTATAGTGACGTTCTCACTCCCCTTATCTTTTTTTCTGTTTTTTGACTTTTCAAACAAATCATGTATAACAAAAAAATGCATACATAATTTTAGATATGATGTTATGTTGCACTGTTGGAATGAAGATCCATTGCAGCGACCAAATTTTACAGAGTTACGTGAACACCTTGAAAATATTATATCTCAAGAAGATTATTACTTTAGCTTTGAAATCAACGAAGAAAACGCTTATTATAACATTTCTTCCTTCAAAAGTCTTTCACCAGAAACAAGTAACGATTTTTTGCCACAAGAGTTATTTCAAGATGAAATCCGTGGATGAATTGAATAATAATGCCACGTACATTATAAACATTTATTTATCTTACGGATGCAGGTGTAAACTAATAATTTTATAAATATGTAAGTTATAAATTTAGAAAATTATATCTTTTCACCCCAGATGGTCTTGCTTGTTACGCGATGAAATAAGAAATATATATATATATATATATATATATATATATATATATATATATATATATATATATATATATATATATATATATATATATATATATATATATATATATTATATATATATATATATATATATATATATATATATATAATATTGTTCATATGTAAATACAGTTTATCTAAAGTTAATATACTTTTCTTTAATTCATTGTTTTATTAACTATGCTAATATTATATGGGCTAGTACACAACCATCAAAACTTAAAAAAATACATAGTTTGCAAAAACATGCGTGTAGAAATTATTTACGGGAAAAAAAGAGGAGAGTATACTAAACCCTTAAGTCGAAATAAGAAAATGATGAATTTTTACAAAATAAACTTTTATCAGCACCAAATTTTCATGTATAAATATATTAATAACCTAACTACAGCTAATTTTATTCGTAAGTTTAAGAAAATTTTTGATGAAAAATATTTTTTAAGAACAAATTCCTTAAATTAACTGGCAAGGAAATTAAATATACAAGTTTTATTTATTAAATTCAAGTTATACAAACTAAATATACAGATATTAAATATACAATATACAGGAAATTAAGTATACAAAATATTCAATAGCATATCGAGGATCTAAGTTATGGAATTCTTTTCAAAAAACTAATGCAAATATGGTAAAATCATAATTATTATATTAAATAAAATAATATGCATATATATATATATATATATATATATATATATATATATATATATATATATATATATATATATATATATATATATATATATATATATATATATATATATATATATATATATATATATATATATATTAGGCCATCCCATTTTGACCCTCATGAACGAATTTTATTTCACGGAGTGTCTCAAAATGTTCCTAAGATATTAGTTTGTTAATGAATTTTTTTTTTTTTTTTTTCTGGATGAGTATTTATTCTCGGGCCATTCGTTTAAAGTTTAACTTTTTTACATTTTTTCAATAGCATATCGAGGATCTAAGTTATGGAATTCTTTTCAAAAAACTAATGCAAATATGGTAAAATCATAATTATTATATTAAATAAAATAATATGCATATATATATATATATATATATATATATATATATATATATATATATATATATATATATATATATATATATATATATATATATATATATATATATATATATGTATATATATATATATATATATATATATATATATATATATATATATATATATATATATATATATATATATATATATGTATATATATATATTATTATTTCCATTCGTTTAAAGTTTAACTTTTTTACATTTTTTGAGTTTTTATGGGCAGTTTCAAATGATCAACGCGAATAGAAATTTATAAACCTTTAACAATTTAACTGCGTCAATACAAAGAATGGAAAGTTTTTTTATCCATACCGATTGTGCGCATTTTTATTATTATCATATTTGTTACCAGGTGGTACTTTAGAAACGCAAAAATCGGGTAATATTTAAAAAAGCGCAGTTTGGAAAAAAAAATTTTTATCGCGCTACTTAACAGTTTTTAATTTTAAAAAATCTATTATTTCCACCTCAAGTAAGTTTATTATAACAACATAACATAATAATGCATGTTATATTTTATAATTATAGTTAAATGAATTAGGTTATTTAAACATTTATAATATTTTAAATGAACTTTTAAAAAATTTTAAACTTCATACAAATTATGAAAATGTTTATAGTGATTAACATTATGATCAATGAGTAACATTATGAAATGTTGTTTTAAAGCTAGCTATGACAACAAAAGTATCTGAGGTGTATCCCTGTCCCAAGAAGGGGTTTAAAAAACGAAGATTGAGTCGCAAGAACATGTTCCTAGTTAACGTCACTCTAGATAGAATGGAAACAAACCAAGGATTCACGTTATCCAACGCTACTTAATTTTAAGAGAACAATTTCCAAAGAAACCACTGAAGGATCTCGTCGCTTGTCCTTTAATGTCCAAAACTTTCCAGTAAGCTTTTAGCTTTAGCTTTAAACAAATCTGTTGGACCAGAGAATTAATTATTTAAATCTCTAAAGCAGAACTGGTTTGGTATTGATGCAAACAACGAGAAGATGCTGTTGAAATTTAATCACCAGAATGTTAAGGGTACCTGGTTAGAGACGCAGGCTTTATTGGCGCTAAAAACTTGCAAGGACCTGATAGATAAAAACAAGTTAAGAAATAGTCAGGTAAGGTTAAAATAAAGAAATATATTACTTTAAAACAACTTTATACCAAATATATATACCAACTATAAAAATAGAAAGAAGAAACATAAAAGTTTTTAATTAAGTTGTAAATTATATACATTTAGACTTTTGAGAAGCGCAAAGATTATTGTGAACTGGCAGAGCTTGTAGTTATGTTCCTTGAAGAACATCAGACAGTTAGGTATAAAATTCACAAAACCGGAGCCAGGTTTTCAAAAGCCAGGTTCATGGCAAAGGCATTGTACTATATGAAGTTCAATTTGTTCCTCCCTAAAATCAGACAGGTTCTTTTTCTGAGTGATGAAATTGTCAAAGAGATCAACAGAATGGCTGACTACATTTCTCTTTTCTGGGCATCGTGGTTTTTGACCTGCAAGTTTTCTGATTCTGCAGCTTTTGAAGTAAAACTTAATTTCCTAAATATTTTTATATTAGTCTCATAATTTAAGAATAATTTGTTTCAAAAAAATACCAACTAAATTGTTTTAGAATAATGACTAAAATAAATGACATTTATTACATTAGATGTTAGACGTGTCATTATCAACCTTACTTACTATCTGTATTGCATTATTTTTAACTCACACTCTTAGGATCAACGAAACTATTGGCAGATGTGCCATTACACTGCGTATGAGCCTGCCGCAAAAGTGGTATTAAAATCATGGCGAAACCATATGTGGTATTAGGCTCCATCAACCGTGGTGCTGGCGCTAGCATGTTCTAATAAAGATTACTACATCGAAATGGAAAAGATGGCAAAAGTTCTTTATTAAACCCAACGGAGTGGCATTAAAAATGTAGGAACGTTTAGAACCAAATCTAAAATCCTTTCGGATAGCAGTTTGTTGTTTAATATAGATCAACCACCAGGTCTTGAATCATATATTTCGCCAGATTCCTGGTTAATTTTTGATATCCTAGGTCATACTTCTGAAAAATGTCTATGGATGAAACTCCATCAGATTTTTTGGAAAGAATTTCCAGGATACAATGAGTTTCAAAGCTTCGTAAAATCTGTTGTCAACGACTCATCAGAACGTGCAGTAAAACTCATTCAAGATAATGTAGCGAGGAAAAACTTCAGAACCTTCTCCAAATGAAAAACTCTTGGAAAAAGCCATTTAAAAAGACGAAGAATGGATACAAGGAATCAGTTACAACGCCTGCTCCCTCGCTACTGGCTGTGAGTTAATAATTCAAAACCTTTCCAATATCTCTAATAAATAGAATTACCTTACTGTAGACTCTAAACCTTAAAAATGTATTTAAAAAAAAACTAAATTATGTGATTTTTAGAGATATGTGTCTTAAAGGAAAGAATTTATTATATATATAATAAATATAATAGCAGCTACGGCAGTATTTAGAGTTCTTACTTTAATATCGGAGGTCCGAGGATTGATGCCGGTTTAGTCATATAAACGACGTTTACTAGAAAAAATTTTCCTGCGGTGCTCTGCGATGAGCACTTAAAATTTAATGAGACTTTAAAATAACACACACAAAATCTAAGTAGATCTTTTCTGAAATATATCAACACATTTTGATCTAGTTAAAACTATAGCAAAATATTTAAAGTCCTATAACAAATCTTTTGGCGGTAACCATTTTAAGTTTGGCTTTGTTTAATCTTAGGTTCCAACAAATGTAATTCTTTTAAAAACATCATTTGATACCAATAAGAAGTAAAAAAAAAAAATATTGCACCATGACTGAAAATGACCTCATAGATCAACAAAAAGGCACTTTGAAATAACACAAATGTTGTTTTTTCTATCAAAATCAGTGAACGGTAGGCATTATGTATTTCTTAACTCGAAAAGCGCAGTGTTTTTTTTGGTACGGGAACACATGAAGAAAATATAAATGAAAAAATTAACTGGATTCGACATCAGAATCGATTCGCGCCGTTGTGTTGAAAACTGCTCAATTTTGGTCATAAATTGCCTAGTGCGTAACTTCTAACGACCGGCGCGAATTCTTCTAACAAGAAAAAATAAAAAATAAAAAAATTTGACTTATAAATATGACCATCTACGCCACTCATTAGCGACTCCGCATGTAATTTGGTTGTCAAAAAAAAATTATGGGATGGCCTAATATTTATATATACATATGTATATATATATATATATATATATATATATATATATATATATATATATATATATATATATATATATATATATATATATATATATATATATATATATATATATATATATATATATATATATATATATATATATATATATATATATATATATATATATATATATATATATATATATATATATATATATATATATATATATATATATATATATATATATATATATATATTATATTATATTATATTATATATATAATATTTTTTCATTTTTCTCTAATTATTTCATTTTTAATTCATTGAGGTCCCTTTCATAACTTTTCCACTTTTTTCTTTAGCTGATAAACTCTTGATGTTTTGCCATTCACTTTTTTTTTTCTTCTTTGTCATATTTTAAATTTAGTGTCCCGTTTATTGCGAATTTGAATTCAGTGAGTCAATAAGATCTCAATTTTATCATAAAAATAATTTTGGAGAACTTATAAATCTAAAAATACATTGTGAAAGTTAATTTTAGGATCCTACAAACTCTTTTAATTGTGGTCAATTCGAAATAAAATCTTCTTCCAAAATCTTATCAACGTTATAAAATAATACGTTAATACTAAGAGATTGTGGAAGTGAGAAAT